TTCAGTGCTCTGTAGTACAAGTCTATAACTCCTCTCTGTGTGAGACAGTGACAGTGCTGTGTGTCTGACAGGTATTCAGTGCTCTGGTAACGAGTCTCATCTGGTGAACTGCAGTTCTCCACAGACAGTCAACTGTAGTGCTGGACAGGAAGTGTCTCTGCTCTGCTCAGGTAGGAGCCATTTGGTCTATTTGAAGTTTCTTTTTCATTAGTTTAACACATCTGTCTTCACTGTCATGGTATGGTTTCAATACGGTTTCAATATATGGACGAGCTGTTCTCCGGTTAGCGGCAATTGTAAAAATAGCCCTTCTTCCCTTCTTTGTTTAACCTAAAGAATTCCATGAAGAAATCCTTAATCATGAAACCATCACTTATAATAATTCATCCAGATTCACACCCTCAAACTGGAGACAACAGCAGCCTATAATAGTGGACTATTTTTATGTATTCGGCTATGTAAGAAACAGACCAAAAGTAATTCTCTGATTGGGCTGTGAGCCGCCTGGGTGCAGCATTACAGTCCATTGCCAATTACCACTATGAGGACAATAAAAGTTAAAAAAATGTTAATATGTTTCCAAAACATCCACTTGTGATATTTTAGCTGCTTAGGTACACAATTAATATTACTATCAAGTGGTATAAAATCAGTACAACTTTGATTTTTTACAATAACAGCAAGTGGTGTTCTTACTACATATTCTAAGAAAAGGATAAAACGTTATAATTTTTATTAAATACAGTATATAAATTATATAATGTTGGAACAAGCTTAAAACCATAACCCACTGTAAGTTACCAAGCTAAAGACTTTGATGCATAAAATATTTCTGAAGAAGGGGGGATAATGTGTATTTCTGTCCTACTGAGCAATCTTGCTTTTAGAAAAAATATAGCTAGTTTTTAATCAGTTTCATGTTGTAAACTGTAATACACAGTTTAAAACTATTAAAAGTCTAAATACATAAATTCTGTAACTGGAAAGCAATTGTTCCTTAGTATTGACCAGGATTCGAAACCAGGAGATTTCTGGTGAAAGCCGAAATGCTTCACTTGCCATGTTAAGCTTTCACTGCTCCAGCTGGCGGTTTTACAAACTACTGGATCCTATTTAAAAAAACCTGCGGTACCTTGCAAACCATGCACTGCGAATTACTGCAGCATCCCTCGTACATTGTGAATAGCTGGATCTGCATATTATGATACCTGCTGCACTGATCTGGTAGAGGCAGACTGGAGCCAGGAGGTCTGAGTAAAGCAGGCTGAGCAAACAGATAAAAGTGAAACTAAATCCAAAAACTTTTCTTGAGAGATCTACTCAGTCTGATGTCTTTGTCATCCTTTCCACTCTTAGGTGAGAATCACACTTCTCACTCCAACATCAGCTGACATCTTACCCTCTTTACAAAATGAATACAAAAGGTAAAAATCATCCCAGCCCCTAAATATCTCCTTTAAAACCCCTTCTCTTTCCAAAACCCAGACAACAAACCTATTCTACAAACTTAACCAATGAAACTCCTTAACAGACTTTCCCCCACAACATACCAAATACCTGAAGATGACTGAATCTGTGCTTTGAGATACAGCAGGACAGATTTTATTTTGAAATCATCTGAATCACAATGACAAAACGCAGGTAACAATTGACAATGGACAATTTACAATCGACAATCAACAATCATCTATTAAAAATTAACTTATTGTGTAATTTGGAAGGCAAATGGTTAAATCAGCACATACTAACTATGACAAAGGGGTTTATAAACTTATCCTACCAATTTTTCTAGGGGTTGCATTTGTAATTACTTATCAGAACGTATCAGAATGACTTCACAACACAGTAGATAAACAGAAAAAATGAAACGTTACTGAATGTGCAGTGTATGGAATATAATTCAGTCATTAATTAAATATTAAGATTCTAATAGGTTACGGTAAAAAAAAAATACATAATTAATATTTCCAAGGCAAACAATGTATAAATGTAAAAAATAGATCAGTATAAAAATGAGTTATCTATAATGGAAGCAATATGACATGCTCCAGATTGAACGTGAATGAATACTGAGCATCTGTGAAGCACTTCTTCGGTATGAATAGTTTGTACTATTACAATTTTTTTATTTTGTGTTCTCACTTACAAAGTACAACACTCAGAGTAAGGTGACTCACCAATGTTTAAATATCTTACCTGATATAGACTAGCGGTCAGACCACTCTTATGCAGTTTTTACATGTGGGGTTCTCGTGTACTAAAGCAACAGACTGGTTATCAGTGATTCAGCTTTCTCACA